AAATATTGCGCCAAGATGTAGGCAACACGTAATAAGGGTTCAAAATGGCGGAGTTTTCTATCTCATTTTAAAAGGCACTCAAAAAGCTGCGCAGAGCGACATTCTCCGTATATTAAAAGAAAATCAAAGTATGTGGTTCCAACACAACCAAAATTAATCACAAACCGATTTGTGTACTGTCAAATCAGTTTCTGGGTCTGAATAGTAACGAATTGTCAAGACATGCGCTAAGCCGCAATAAACTGAACATTTCGTGATTGTAATTATATTATTTGTATCTATTGTCTCTGACAGTTCTGATTTGTATTTGTTAATCGAGCTTAGTCTCCATAGTTTTTGTTCATGATCATTTATTTTATTTTGTGGTTTATTATTGTAATAATGCATAATTAAGTTCCGAGTTGAATCCCAATCCCCGACCAGTACCTGACAAGTTGTCAATTACTAGTCATCGACAGATTGTCAACAATAAGTTTTGGACTGGTTTATGTATTGTTCCAAGATCGTTGTTGGAACAAACCTCCAATGTTCTCCCGAAATGATGCTCTTCTACTGGTTTTGACTAAGAGAAGTAAGTATGTTCTCTCGATTTTCATGCGAAGTGATCATTCACTTCAATTCAAGAATACCACTCACACACTTTTTAGGAGAACGGCTGTCCAGTTCGCATGAAATGATCATTCTCTCAACTGGAGAATATGCCCCCTGCACCGGCACATAAAAAAAGTTGTCAGTACTTTTGAAGGGACCGGTATATCTTTATGTATGTCGACCCGCTGAATCCGAATCTAAGGTCCGTTTGACCCGTACACCGTCAAATTTTTCAGAAAACTTTGAAAAACTGCCGATTTTCGTCATTTTATTCGGTTTTTCAAAGTTTTCTCGAAAATTTGACGGTGTACGGGTCAAACGGACCTCAGATTCGGATTCAGCGGGTCGAAATACATAAAGATATACAGAACCCGTCAAAAGTACTGACAATTTTTTTTGTGTGCCGTTTGACTCCGGTGTGAAATAGCCTTAAGAAAATGGCTGAGAAGGTCAACAGAAAGGAGTGCGTATAGAACCAATACATGCTTGATATTCTTTATGACAATAAAAATATGTCCATAGTTGCAATTATTTTATTTCTTATTAATATAAGTGGTGATATCCATCAGATGTCCATAAATTGTCCAAAAGCAATAAAAAAGAGTCCATATATGGACCTTTTATGGAGTCCAAATATGGACGTCAGTATAACATTTGTATAGTCTAATGGATGTCCACTGGATGTTCTTCGATAAAATGCTGGACGTATTTTGGGTAGCCGATATGTCCATCAATGGACTTCCGTTGGACATACAACGGATTGGGTCAACAATGTAACCGTCCCAGATAGGTATCCCTTACCCAATATCCAAGATTTTAATCAACAGATACACGGATGTAATTTTTTTTCAAAAATTAACTTGGTAAGGGCTCACCACCAAATCCTAGTAGCAGACGAAGATGCTTATAGGACTGCCATAACTATCCCTTTTGGCCTGTATGCATTTGCAGGATTCCTTTTGCTATGCAAAATTCAGCACAAACGTTTGAACGTTTTATAAATGAAGTTATTTCTGGTTTACCTTTTCTATTCGTATATACAGGGTGTCTGTAAAAGGTCTAAAAAACATACCACATATTCCTTAGACCAAAATAAGTCAATTTAAGTAAAATTACCTTAGTACAAAGTTGCTTCGTTTGGGCTCCAGAGGGACTTTTCCCATATAAATTTGAAACGGCATATGCGATTTTGCTGAAATTTGGTATATTGGTAGAGTTTTATGTGGCAAAAAAAATGGTATTAAAATTTTGTCCGATAATAATACATAGGCGTAGAACTTGATTTTTTAAATAATTGCACCTTTAAAAATTCTACGCCAATGGAAGAAAAGAAGTTTGAGTATGAAATTTAGATTGCGCAACTCATTTACTTTAAAAAAGGTACTCTTGATAAGACTCGATTACTCTCATGGTTTTCGCTAAATTTCTGTTTTAATAATTTAGAGTGTATAGGTTTCACAAAAATATTTATTTACAACATAATCAAAATAAAGATTTTACAAAAATTGTTCAAAATGTTCACCATTTTCACGCATACAAAGATTTATACGTCGAAGAAAATTAAAATGTATCCTTTCCATAACTTCTTTATCACCTCTAAGATTGTTTATTGCATCTTGAATACGTTGCCAGAGTTGATCCTCATTTTCTACAGGTTCCCTGTAAACTGTGGATTTCAGATGTCCCCATAAAAAGTAATCCATTGGTATTAGGTCTGGAGAACGTGGTGGCCAGTTTACGGGTGCGTCATTACCTCTGCCTATCCATTTGTGTGGATATTGTTCATTCAAGTTGTTTCTAACGTTTAAAGAAAAATGTGCTGGAGCTCGATCTTGCATAAACCACATATCTCTCCGAAGTTGGAGGGGTAAATCTTCTAACAATTCTGGCAACGTATTTTGTAGAAAATCCAAATAATTTTCTCCAGTTAATCTTCGTGGAAGTATGACAGGATCAACAATGAAATTACCAATTATTCCATCCCACACATTAATTTTGAATTCGTGCTGAAAATGGTTTACCTTTATTGCATGCGGATTTTCAACGGCATAAACATGTTCATGTTCATTATGGGTATTAGTTATACCTCTTCTTGTAAAACCCGCTTCATCGGTAAAGAAAACCTTCTTGACAAAGTTTGGATCTCTTTCTCTTTGCATATTAACAAATCGACAAAAACCCAAACGAATTTGAGGATCATGGACTAATAATACTTGTACTGGCTTCTTATGGTATGGATATAGCAATTGTTCTCTAAGCACTTTATGAACGACATCTTTACTTACTCCTAGTTCCCTTCCAATTCGTCTGGTGCTTAATTCTGGATCTTCTTCAACACGTTCTAAAATGTCTTCTTCAACTTCAGGAATCCTTACAAAACATTCTCTTCCATTATTATACAGTGTTGGGAGCAAAGGAACCGGTTTCCCGAAGACGTCTCTCAACAGCAGCAAAAGTTGGGTGGTTAGGTACACGACGATTTGGAAACCTTTCAGAGTACACCCTGATACTCTCTCGAGCATTTCCTTCACAAAATCCTAATGTCAGTAACATATCGGTATATTCTGCATTGGTATATTGTACAGCCATATTAATAAACCACGCATTTGTTTTTTTAATTATTAAGTCAGATAGAACACTTTTAATCGTTAACAAGAGACTAGGTATTAAAACTTGAGAATATTTTTATTTAAATGAAACTATGGAAACCAACAATAAATGTTTTTGTATACGTATTGCAGGCAACAAATAATTAATATTCCTCAAAAAATCGTACATGGCAAGAATCGAGTATTTTTGTTAAAAGTCTCGATTAGAGGTGTTGAAGAAGATATGAAAAAAGTACATTTTTATGTTTTTCATCGTATAAAATTTTGTCCGATAATAATACATAGGCGTAGAACTTGATTTTTTAATTATTTAAAAAATCAAGTTCTACGCCTATGTATTATTATCGGACAAAATTTTAATAACACTTTTTTTGCCACATAAAATTCTACCAATGTACCAAATTTCAGCAAAATCGCATATGCCGTTTTAAATTTATATGGGAAAAACGATTTAAACTTCAAGGCCCTCTGGAGCCCAAACGAAGCAACTTTGTACTAAGGTAATTTTACTTAAATCGACTTATTTTGGTCTAAAAAATATGTGGTATGTTTTTGTAAAGACCTTTTACCGGGTGTTCAAATTAAAGTGTTACAGTTAAATACCGCCGAAAATATGCATTTAAGAAAAAAAAAAGTTTCAGACAAAAGTTTTATAGTTTTTTGGGGGAAACATTTTGCCTAAATTCATTTTTTTATAGCTGACCATAATATGGCCATATCGAGGTAAACTTTGTTTTTTTATAAATGGGAATCCCATTTTTTCTTACATATTCTTAAAGTACATAAAAAAATAAGAAACTTTTGAGGGAAATATTTTTTTTATTGGACTTCTACTTTTTGAGTAACAGCTACTTGAAAATGTTGCTGAGCGAAAAAAAAGTTTCCCATATTATGGTTAGCTATAAAAAACGATTTTAGCCAAAAGGTTCTCCCTACAAAACTATAAAACTTTCGGTAGATGATATATTAGTAGCAAGCAGAGATGAAAAAGAACATTTAGTACACCTAGAAACTCTATTTGAGCGACTCAATTCTTTAGGAGTTAATCTTAAACTAAATAAATGCGTTTTTGGATCTCAAAAATTGATATTTCTTGGCCACACTGTTTCCTCTGATGGTATCCTCCCGTCAGAAGAACGTGTAGACATAAGAAATTTTCCACGTCCCCAAAATCTCAAACAACTTCAACGTTTTGTAGGAATGATCAACTTCTATCACAGATTTATTAAAGACTTTGTTAAATCGCTTTACATTACAAAATCGATCCGATAAAACTATCAACCATTGGTCTGATCAATGTGAAAATTGTTTTGTGGATGTCAAAAACAAATTAGCCAATGCTACTGGTTATCCATCCTTCTCTGAATAATCAAATTTTTTTGACAATAGATGCATCCAATACTTCTATACGTGCTGAACTAGAACAAGTCCAATGTGATCGCTGACATCTTATCACGAGTTGACGATAGTATTTTCTGTTTAAATAAAAATTTAATTGATGTCAAATCGTAGAAGGACTCTCAAAATGTCGACATAGAATTAAAAAACCTTTTAAAAAATCAATTAACTAAAACACAAAACAAACACACATTAGAACTCTTAAAATTTCTCATGAGGATATTGAAATATGGTGTGAAGTATCATCACCTATACAACCAGTTTTTAATGTCATAATAGCGCAAGAAGTAAATTGTTCCATTTATTTTTTCAATATTAACTAGAATAGCAAATTAATTTCTTGTAAATAAAATAAGTCACAAGTTAAAAATATCAGACGAGGAAATAAAGATAAATTAATACAAACCTTTAGTTTTATATACAACCACAGCAACGGTCAAATGTACTTCTTTCGGATGAAGTATGGGACTGGATGAAATAGAATAAAATCTAGGCTGTAGAATACTCAACTGACCAACTAGAAGAGGCGCGCATGGTGTAACTGAAGGAAATTCTTCTAAAACATCTAGAAGATGGGGAAATCGCCAGTGACGCCAATCTTCGTAGGCAGCAGAATCCTTCAAAGTAAAAAAGCAATTAACGTTTTTTTTACAAGAAATTAATAATAATAATAATAATAATAATAATAATAATATGAGCAATAGTCGATATCGTTATTAAAGAAATGACAACATTACAGGAAAGACAAAAAACGTATTAAAAACGCCAAATAAACATAATGGTTTTTCCTGTTAGCGTTTTATATAATAATTCAAATAATTTTTTGATTAAATTGTTTTCATCTAAGTCGAAGATCTCACCAACACAGAAGACTTTATTGACCACGAGAACAAGAGTATCAAGGAATTAGTTCCTAGAGCCTCTAAAACAAACTGATCTCTTTGCATATACAATACGTCTTCGCGGGGAGTTTGTTTGAACTTTCCTAAAGGTAGGCACACATATAATGAATTTCTGTCATTTTAAACCTATTTAGCGTCATTTCTTAAAACTTGTAAAGGCAAAAAGTTTATTTCAGCCATATAAGACAGCTGAATCTGATGGTATAATCCCAGCAATTCTATAAAAGGACCAGGAAGAAATGTGTAAACTATTTCGAGCTAGCACAGCCCTTGGATATGTTCCATAAAGCTGGAAGTCTGCAAGAGATGTCTTTATTTCCAAACTTGAGATAGCGTCTTACCAAATCTTTTGGACCAATCAGCCTAACATCAATTCTCCAAAAAATCTTGGAGATATTGATCGATAGATATATACCTAGCAATTTTAAAAATCTTGAGGATGCAGCCATATGTGGGCAAGCTCAAAAGACTGAACAAGCATTGGAAATCCAAGAAAAATCATCAGGAGTTTTCCTAGACATAAAGGGAGCCTTTAAATCGGCCACGTACGATTCAACATTTGGAACTATGAACAGACGTTCACAAAACCATTACCAGTAATTAAAACAACAAGAAATGTCTTCAAAGAGGAGTCTATTCTTCACTCAAATGGACCTTGGTGGTTGATGACCTCTTATGGGAGTACAAGCATTTGTAGATGACATAAGCATCGTAGTAAACGGTAAATTTTGGGCGGATCTTTCCGAAAAGATGCAGCAGGCTCTAAATATCGTCAAGAGCTGGTGACTAACATGAAGAAAACTTCTGTTGTTGAATTCACTAGAGAAAAATAAACTTCCAAGTATCAAAGGACCTTTATATGTGAGGACAACATCTAAAAATGGCACTAGTTTCTGCAGCCATATAGAAAATAAAAATCAACAGATAAACCTTTAAGAATACTAGGAATCTGAAGACAGATGGTAGGAAACACATCTGGGCTTAAACGAAGTATGATGCACTGGCTTCGAATAAAGGTTGTAGTACCTGTTATAACTTACTCATCAGTCATATGGTGGCACAAGACATAAGCTGGCAGAAAATTAGATAAGGTACAAACATAGACATGTCTAATAATAATAGGGGCATTTATAATTACGCCCACTTTATAGTCTATTTTTATGTATGAGAGAGAAATAAAACAGCATTTCTAATGCAAAACTTAGTAAGGTCATTTTAAAAATTCTAAAATTGTAATAAATGTACCTGAGCTATTACAAGTTTTGGGCCTTTTATTCGTCCTTTATAAACATAAGCTGTACAGGACAATAGAAGAAGGTTTGGACAGGCCAAAAGCCCTGTGTATTAAAGATTACATAGCCGTATCTTAAGATTATTTTCAATAAGTACCTATTTGCCAATTTTGTTTTATTTTAATTCCAATAATTTCTTACAGTAATCGAATTATAAGTAGATAAATACCTTCCCAACAAATTTCACCGAAAATGCGATTATAGGTTTTCAATTTAGTAAGGAGGTCCAAGTTGTGTATTTTTGACAGTTTACTGAATGTCGTTTAGTTGCAACTTGCAAGGTGCAGTGTGAATTCTAGTGTGATCATGGAAAATTTGGAAGGGCCGCGTAAACGACAAAAAATCGGTCCTTTAACAGTTAATGAAAAAACTTTAATATTTATTTGTTTGAAATAATTTACAGACAAACATTTATGTAAAAGTGTTGATGACACAGTGGAATTAGTTTGTAGTACGCTTGGTGTTGGGAAATCTACAATTTAAAGAGTTGTTAAAGTAGAGAAATGTGGCGAGTTTCAAACAGCACGTAAAGCTCCAGGAAAACCAAAATTTCAATTAGAAAATCTTTTGAAAGAAAGACTTCGAAGGAAAGTGCATGCATTCTTCTTTAGAGAAGAATTTCCGACAGTAGACAAAGTTCTTGCCACGGTTCGGGATGATAAGGATTACCCTGAAATGAGTCGAAGCACACTATGGAAACTCTTAAAAGAAATAGGTTTTCTATGGAAAAAGCATTCCAAAAAGTCTATTTTAATAGAAAGAAGCGATATTGTAGTATGGAGAAGAAATTACCTAAGGACTATAAAAGAAATGAGAAACCAAAGAAGAAATATATTTTATTTAGATGAAACATGGATCAACGAGGGACATAAACCAAATAAATTTTGGCAAGATGAAACTGTTACAAGTCGAAGACAGGCTTTTTTAAATAATTTATCTACTGGTTTAAATCCACCATCAGGAAAGGGGCGCAGACTAATAATAGTACACATCGGTAGTTCAAACGGTTTTGTTAAAGGTGGTTTATTGACGTTTGAATCTACTCGTACCGGTGACTACCATGAGGCCATGAATGCTGCTGTCTTTAAAGAGTGGTTCGAACAAATTATAGATCTTCTTCCTCAGATCTGTATAATAGTAATGGATAATGCAAGTTATCACTCGAGACTTATAGAAATAATGCCCACAACCAAGTGGTTAAAAAAAGATTTACAGAATTGGCTAAATTCAAAGAATATTAAGTTCCATCCCGGTTCTGTGAGAAAAGAACTGTATCATTTGTGTTCCCTTCAAAAAGAAAACTTCAAAAAATATAAAATTGATGAAATTGCAAAAAATCGTGGGATGACGATAATTAGATTACCACCATATCATTGCGAAGTAAACCCGAATGAACTGATATGGGCACAGATAAAGGGAGAAGTTTCAAGAAAAAATAATTCTTTTAAAATGAGTGATGTTTTTGGAGGCTGTAAATAATGTGAAGCCTGAAAACTGGGAAAAGGCAGTAAATCAGACGATTAAAGAAGAAGAGAAAATGTGGAAATTGGACAATATTACTGATGAAATGATCGAGCCACTCATTGTAAATATTGGTTGCGACAGTTCATCTTCTGATTTCGATTCGGATTTGGATTTGTAGGTAAGAAGTAGTTTTTATATTAAAATTATTATTTATGAACGTAACGTTGTTTAAAAGTCAAAGTTTAAACCCTTATACCTACATACCCCGTTTGACACAATGTTCTTAACATACCTTGTGGAAAAATAAAACATTTTAGAAAAAATTGCACTTTTTTACCTTCAGCTGTTTAGAAGTTATAAGCAGGTTAATTAGATGAAAATATAAGTGTATACTCGAGGAATAACTTCAAAAAATATTTTAACTGTCTACTAAAAGAAGTGATACGCTTATGGATAACGAACGCTTTATTATTTTATAACTCTCTCATACATATAAATAGACAATAGCAATGAAGCTACTGCTAAGTCTTCATTACACCTTGTGGTGGACAGAAAGGGTATGACGGCATCAGTTCACTAATAGATTTGGATTGGAACTTTCGTAAAAAGAACACCATAAAATGATATTACAAAAATTAAAACAAAATCTGGTGTTAATAATGCCATCGGACACCTATTATTCATGACTTATACCAGAAAGGGCCAACAATCGGGATAGTAGAGAAGTACAAAACGAATAAATCTGGTATACAAACGGTTTGAAGGGGAAAAACAGCACAGGAACTGGGATTTTCTATTATTCTGAACCTGGTGACACAGGCTAAAATATTAGCAATAAATACCTAACTCTTTTATATATAAGAGGGTCTTTATTATGACAGACAGTCAAATAGCATTACAAAGGATACAAAAACAATACAAATTAATAGTTAATTATCAACAGTCCCTCCAAGTCCTGGTAGAACATAAGAAGGCTATTCTTAAATGAATTGCGGGATATAAAGGGTTATTGTGGATGGAGAAACCAAGCATTACAGCCAAAAAGGGGACTGAAAAAACTCTGATTGGAGCAGATTGTATAGAAAGTATAGAAATGTCTATGCACTTCCCATGTCTACACACCATTGCTCGTAAAGCTTTTTCCTAATCTGTATATATAGAGATTACACAATAATGATTTACAGGATGATATAACAACTTTATGAAATCGTGAAACAATGATTTCTAGATAGAGACTGATATATGTATTAATAATAATTTTTTAGATCATTGTATACTTACGTTTGCGAGTAAATTGAGTTGCTTTTTCTCTTCTGGGTCGGTTGCAATCGAGGCGAAATGTTGTAATAAGTTCGGAGTTGGAGGAGTTGTAATATCCAAGTAATAACTAAACAATTGTTTTAACGAACAGGCCGGCAATCGTTCATGTGGTTTCCACGTTTTCAAAACACCTATAAAATATAATAAATTATAAAATTAGTTACCAATTAAATAACAATTTCATCAATTATTACTAGCAAAGGGGTTCTTCATAAATAATTGAAGGTTGAAGTAAAATAGTTTTGAAAAAGAGTTATAAACCTAAATAGATAATTTAGATTTATTTAGCCAATTCTTTTAGGCTTTTTCTGCCAAAACTGTGCCACTTAAATTTATTTTGTTCTTCAGTATTGATTTAGATGTTATTGAAGTTGCCACATATCTGATGCGCTGCTTCATTATACATGTCATAAATGTGCCAGAACTTCCAAATATATATTAAAATGGTTTTATTCGGTTTTTGTTTATTTCCAACTAGTTTTGGAATATTAAAAATACGAATAAAAAATGCTTCGATTTCCCTAGTCCGTATAACATATTAAACTTTGTAGTTACAACATACAAACAACATTAATAGAAATTAAAAGAAATTAATAGAAATTAATAGAAATTAATAGAAATTAATAGAAATTAATAGAAATTAATAGAAATTAATAGAAATTAATAGAAATTAATAGAAATTAATAGAAATTAATAGAAATTAATAGAAATTAATAGAAATTAATAGAAATTAATAGAAATTAATAGAAATTAATAGAAATTAATAGAAATTAATAGAAATTAATAGAAATTAATAGAAATTAATAGAAATTAATAGAAATTAATAGAAATTAATAGAAATTAATAGAAATTAATAGAAATTAATAGAAATTAATAGAAATTAATAGAAATTAATAGAAATTAATAGAAATTAATAGAAATTAATAGAAATTAATAGAAATTAATAGAAATTAATAGAAATTAATAGAAATTAATAGAAATTAATAGAAATTAATAGAAATTAATAGAAATTAATAGAAATTAATAGAAATTAATAGAAATTAATAGAAATTAATAGAAATTAATAGAAATTAATAGAAATTAATAGAAATTAATAGAAATTAATAGAAATTAATAGAAATTAATAGAAATTAATAGAAATTAATAGAAATTAATAGAAATTAATAGAAATTAATAGAAATTAATAGAAATTAATAGAAATTAATAGAAATTAATAGAAATTAATAGAAATTAATAGAAATTAATAGAAATTAATAGAAATTAATAGAAATTAATAGAAATTAATAGAAATTAATAGAAATTAATAGAAATTAATAGAAATTAATAGAAATTAATAGAAATTAATAGAAATTAATAGAAATTAATAGAAATTAATAGAAATTAATAGAAATTAATAGAAATTAATAGAAATTAATAGAAATTAATAGAAATTAATAGAAATTAATAGAAATTAATAGAAATTAATAGAAATTAATAGAAATTAATAGAAATTAATAGAAATTAATAGAAATTAATAGAAATTAATAGAAATTAATAGAAATTAATAGAAATTAATAGAAATTAATAGAAATTAATAGAAAATTAATAGAAATTAATAGAAATTAATAGAAATTAATAGAAATTAATAGAAATTAATAGAAATTAAATAGAAATTAATAGAAATTAATAGAAATTAATAGAAATTAATAGAAATTAATAGAAATTAACAGAAATTAACAGAAATTAATAGAAATTAATAGAAATTAATAGAAATTAATAGAAATTAATAGAAATTAATAGAAATTAATAGAAATTAATAGAAATTAATAGAAATTAATAGAAATTAATAGAAATTAATAGAAATTAATAGAAATTAATAGAAATTAATAGAAATTAATAGAAATTAATAGAAATTAATAGAAATTAATAGAAATTAATAGAAATTAATAGAAATTAATAGAAATTAATAGAAATTAATAGAAATTAATAGAAATTAATAGAAATTAATAGAAATTAATAGAAATTAATAGAAATTAATAGAAATTAATAGAAATTAATAGAAATTAATAGAAATTAATAGAAATTAATAGAAATTAATAGAAATTAATAGAAATTAATAGAAATTAATAGAAATTAATAGAAATTAATAGAAATTAATAGAAATTAATAGAAATTAATAGAAATTAATAGAAATTAATAGAAATTAATAGAAATTAATAGAAATTAATAGAAATTAATAGAAATTAATAGAAATTAATAGAAATTAATAGAAATTAATAGAAATTAATAGAAATTAATAGAAATTAATAGAAATTAATAGAAATTAATAGAAATTAATAGAAATTAATAGAAATTAATAGAAATTAATAGAAATTAATAGAAATTAATAGAAATTAATAGAAATTAATAGAAATTAATAGAAATTAATAGAAATTAATAGAAATTAATAGAAATTAATAGAAATTAATAGAAATTAATAGAAATTAATAGAAATTAATAGAAATTAATAGAAATTAATAGAAATATAGAAATTAATAGAAATTAATAGAGATTAATAGGACAATTCATAAAAATTCAGTAAAATTCTAAAAAGATGGCGCCATCTCATTGTAACTTTTGAAGTAATGTCCCTGTAAATATTTTCAGATAGACAGGCAACACCTTCCTATCACAGCAGAGTTCAAAAGTCCTAGTATACCCAAGTGAACCATGATCTATTTAGAAATATATACAAATACAATCAGACTCAGGAAAAATTGATGGGAGAAATTTTAAAGAATGAAGAGGGATCAGGACCACAGTTCAAGAAGGGGAAATTTCCATAACGGAGCTCTCTTTTTGATCTGTGCCAATGAGACCGCTAAAACCTGGCTCTCCAAAATAATCTCCCAGCTCCAACCATGGCAGGAAGCACAATTTATGGTGGGACTCTCTAGCGACATCGTCCGGACAAAGGTACTTGTGTTCCTTAAAACCCAAAACTAAGGTCTCTAAATGGAACAGTGGCAAGTCATTCACAGGCAAGTGGAAAATAACGGTCAAACCATTGTACTTGTTGATTGACGACGACTCTCTGAAGGCTTTAGAAAACCTGCAGTTAAAACCCTATCTGGGCCTAACTCAGGCAATCTTCAGAGTGCAAAGGGAGAGGAAGAAAGAACCTTCAGATGCTCAGAATAGTGCAAGCTAATCTGAGACACTGCAAGGCCGCCTCCGCAACCCTGGCACGTACCATTATCAGGGAGGATATAGACGTAGCCCTAATAAAAGAACTCTGGATCTACAAAGGGCATGTGATGGAGCTCGGACAAACCAAAGATAAGTTAATATACAATACCCAAAGTGGAAACACTAGGGCTTGTATATACATACGAAATGGTCTAGACATCTTCAACTTACAAGATTTTTGTTTTAGAGACCCATTAGCAGTCAGGTGGAAATAAACATAGCAGGCAACAAGAGGCCACTCATTTTAACCTCTGCATACCTTCCCTATGACTCTCCCAGCCCTCCACCAAGAGATGAGCTGAGGGATTTAGTAGATACCTATCGGGCCGAAAACCTACAGGTACTCATTTCTGCTGGCGCAAATTTACACCATATAACATGGGACAGCAAGGACAACAACAAAAGAAGTGAGTCTTAACTTGAATTCATTCTAACCACTAACCTAGAAATATTGAATCGTAGAAACGAACCTACTTTTGTAAAGTACGATTCAAATAAGAAAAAGCCACACACATCATACCTGACAAAGGCCTCTCTCTCATGTCCATCCCATTTAAGCGTCAGAGGCGTTTTGGCGATTTTTTCGTTTTTCTAATATAGAGATACAATTGCTTAATAATTTGGCAACGCTGTACGACTGCCGCATGGTCCAGAATATAATTCGAACAGAAGCTATCGCGTTAACATGGATCCCTTATTTGTGAGCCAAACTTCGGCGTTGCCAAGCTTTTACTTACGAACAAAAATACGGGTTCATCGGAAGAAAGTGAAGACAGCGAGAGTACTATACTCTGTTTTTAAACTAGGAGGAGCGAAATGAAAAGATGCATTTACACAGAGAAAAGTAACTAGATTTGTTACTAAGAGCGAGTTTCGAAATATAATCGTGTTCAAAATTTATGAAATAATTATCTTTATCGGCCTTAGTCGGCGAACGGCCAATGAGCGGTTAAGAAACGAATAAATGTCATAGAAGTAATTTTTTAATTGGTCCCAGACAACGGTCGCAAATTTCACATTATTGTAATCTGAAATGTGTGTCAAATTAAAGTCAATATGGTTGTTGATTGATGTCAGAAATACTTTTTTCTTGCTTTTGAAATCGACTTTTTGAGAATAACTATGATCTTTTTAAAATGGATATTACATATTTAAGAAAATTGTTAATGGAATATCCAGATGTAGCCAGGTTAGTATAAAATATAAAGATCTGTTTACATTTTTAAGGATAATTTGTTATAGGTATAAAAAGTAAAAGTTATTCAGTGAATGACAAGTGGATCACAGAGTAACTGGTATCTCTTCTAAGAGTAATGTGGATATTATGGCTTATTTAGTGTTAACCCATGGTTAATGCGCTAGAGGGCAAATAAAGGCACTCAAAAGTTTACAGGCCTATGAGTCAGAATTTGTTTTGAAAACTGGAACCAACATTTTCATAACACTACATGTCAACATATATTTTTTAAAATGAACTATTCATACATACCTATGTATTAATTTTAAGTATTTTTAAAATATTTTTTGTGAAAGTAATGTTAACTCATTGTGCCAAATTAAGATTATCCCTAAAGTAGTAGATGGTGTTTTAAATGTCATAACAATTTTGTAAATAGTTTTATTCTATTCTAATAAATAAAATTTGCCTAAATATTTAGTTACATTTTAATCATTTTGGTTAGAAATTCATCAATTTTTAGTTTTAAAAAATCAGTAATAAAATTATTTTTTTCTAAAATACTTCGGAATTCATCTCTTCATGGTAATCTCCCATCTTTTTACCTTCAAAAACCAATAACCCAGCTAGCACCGGACGTCGTTTCACGTCATAATCACGTTGAATTTTGGTCAAATACGTCGATGTGATTTTTTGACGCAAAAGTAACGTAATAATGACGTCATTTTCGGACCAATTTGACACGTA